CTGGAAGCTAGTTCGAGGGCTCCGAACGATTACCACTTTTGTACATAGGAATGACCAGTCCATGTTTCCACATTGTCGGATCCTGCTGAGTCCAAACCAGGACGAAGGCACGGTAGTGGGCTGCCAGTGTTGGGATGAGCAACACCATAATATTTCCATTTCACATTCGGTCCTTGTGATCCGAATAACCGAGGTCTACTTCAGGTGAACCGAGGTCACAATCGCGGTTACCTGTAGCAATCCAACTACACAGCGGATGCTCCAATTCTAAATTCGAATTCATTTCCGCTGTACCAAGCGTTGCTCGCGGATCTCAGTGGCATAGTACTTATGGCGTCAACCATGAGCCATTAGGCTCTGAGTTCCAGCCCAACTCAGGCTATCTCGAACTGATGAGTCCCAACAGGACGAAACCGCGGTCTTGGGGTGCCAGTGTTGGGATGAGCAACACTATACTATTTCCATTGTCGTAACCTGCATTTCGTCGAGACGTTAAAAGAACCAAGTTAATGGTTCGGCAAGATTCATGGCCGCTGTCTTCAAGGCCTTCGGTTTGATGTCTTCCACGCCAGGTGAGCAGTGCACGCACAGAGACGTTAGCGTTTTTATCACATTGGCTGCCGTGCACAATAAGTGGTTTAACCCTGGTGGTGATGGTAGGTGTGTAAAAAGCGGATGAAAAAATGATTTACTCCGGAAAGTATGGATGAAGTATAGGCGAAGCACGCTGGCTGCATCCTGTTAGGTTTGCGCAAGACCATCCGTTGCACGTAAAACCGGAACCCCGCGCTGCACTCTGCTTAGCTTGTTGACGTGTCTATTCAGTAACTTGGGATTTGTACTAAATTTCGCCGATAAGTTCTGTTGGTGCTGGAGTTTGTCTTCGCGGACCAACTTGACGCAGTGGTTTCCTTGAGTTGTGTAAGCACCCCAGGTCAGGTTACTTAGACAGAGCTTGTAAGTGCGACAGACTGAATCTCTTAAGGTCATGCATTTTCTAATACGGGTCTTCAGGACATCTGATATAATGAAGGCTTGGTAGGAAAGCGCTATAATGGCTAATGAGCCCAAGGAACGAATAGAGCTCTGATTTGTCTGCTTGGGGCTTCATGATTTTGATTGCTTCAATATGGGTGGGATCCAGGCGCCGGCCATGTTTGTTGATGATAAACACAAGAATTTTAACAATTTCTAATAGGAACTCAAAATTGTTAGCCCATAATCGGAATCAGGCTTCTTCGAGACGCGAAAGCATTCGCTGCAGCATCTGTAGCAAGTCTTGGGGATCTCAGCGCATAATCAACGCTCAGTGCAGGTAAAATGCGGTATTTGGGTTATTGCTCAGCAGGGTATTATCCATTGTTTGTTAAAATATGACCGGTGCGATTTTCATTCCGAACGGTAGCCGGTTGTACTGAAAAGGTCCGAGGTGGGTATTTACTGTCAGTAATGTTCTGCACTAGTGCGGAACTTGGATTTGAAGATACGTATCAGCTATGTCAAGTTTTGCAAAATATTCTCCCCCCATTGAATTTACCCAACAAGTCTTCTGGTATCGGCAAGGGATACTGATGATCTTTCAACACAGAATTCAAACCTGTCGAGAAATCTGCACAAACACAGACTTCACCGTTTCCTTTCTTTACCACCATGATAGGTGCTGCCCATTCTGAATAGTGAAGTCGTCGGATTATTCCTTCAGATTGTAGTCGGTTTAACTCGGCTTCCACTGAGGACTGGGTTTTGTAGAGCACCGAGCGTCTTGGTCTAAAGACTGACTTAGCGTCTTGTTTAAGGTTCATTGCGACAGTAGTTATGTTGCAGCATCCGAGACCAGGTTGAAACAATGCCTCGTAACGTCGTTTTATCTCGGCAATCTGACTTTGAAATATTGGGCTTGAAGCTGTCGGATGTGACAGCAGGTTGACTTGCGGTGGCTGACGTATACTGTTCACTGATTGATCAAGCAGTTTCACTTCATCCATCCAGTCGAGCCTCAAAAAATACAACACCGGCTGGTCTGTCACCAAACATGTCGTCTGGATTTGTTTATCGCGGAAGTTTACCTGACAATTCAGTTCACCAAGTAATTTGCACTTACCTCCTGAAGCATTCCGTGCCGTGTAGCCCATTTATATGAGTATCGGTCGCCTCAGCAATCACCAAGTGTCGCGAGATATCAGGGTTATACCTGAAGCCGAGTCGATTTGTAACTTGACTTGGAAGCCGTCGATTTGCAAAAAATGTGTATTTGCGTTCGCTTGCCCCGTCAAACTTGAAAGTTGCGTTGATAGAGTTAGTCATATCTGGACGCTAAAAGGATTTGACATTGCTCCGCATCTTCTTGGCCAAAATTGGACGACTCACCAGGCAACACAACTCCTTATGCCCTATTCTGCCGCATTTTTTACAAGTGTGAGTTTTGAATGAGAGCTCACAGGCAAAATGTCACTCTGTCTACAAAACCAACATACATTGGGAGGTTTAGAATGCCGTGAACTCACATGAGGAGCTTCTTTTGGGGAACCACGGGCTGACTGCACAGACAAATTCTTGATCGTTCTGATTCGGCTACTTCTGAATCGTTGCGGTATCATGTTTCACATTCGTCATGCGTTGGCACTCACCGCTCACTAGCTGCAATGTGACATTCGGATTCTGCTCAATTTTGTTCAATATTCTTGTTTGAATGTGGGCGTCTTCGGATGTTTGTAGGCCACAAACCTATATGAGACATTTAACCTGCTCACTTACCACCTTGTGTAGTTGTGACTGATTTCTTGTCATGATTCACACGGATTGAATAGTCGACACAATCTTTGTCTTCTTTTGAGGTTGCTGTCAGACCGGATGTTGAACACAGATGTCTGCTGTCCGAAAATCTGCGACAGGACGGCAACCACTTGATCAAACGACAAATCGGTACTCCTTTTAGGTAAGATAAAATTGCTGAACTTATCGTGTTCGGCAGCCCCCCGCTTCTGCAGCATTAATCGAATCTTCTTTACCGCTGGAAGGTTAACGAAATCAACCCGGAACAAGTCTTCATACTTGTGGAACCAAGAAACAAATGTTATACCGCTATCAGCGTCATGATGGAGCTCACTGATCTACTGAGTCAGGGTTTCTGGCAAGGGAGCGGTTTCACTTGCTCTTAACCCTAGACTTGATTGCATTGTCAGCTTCTGAAACAACATCTCGATCAACTTCGCCTGGGATGCTTCATATTGCGCCTGTTATTGTTGCAAAAGCATATGCCATTGTTTAACGCTGATTGTCATTTCTGGGTTCTGTTGAGCGAGCTTCGTCACTGTTATGACGCTGTACGCGCAACCGACCGGTTCGTTCATGCCTGCCGCTAAATCTGCGCCCTTTATGCCTGCTCTGCTTGAAGCCTTGGCCAACTCGATAGGAAGAAAAACAGACGAAGACTCAACCGGCCAGAGTTGTAGTAGAACCGAGAACGCTCATATTTATAGGTCGGTCTCACCAACCCTCTAAACACCGACTGGCGGATTTGACTACCTGTCTTCCTCGTACGCCCACGCTGCATACTTGACTGTCTACTCCGTCTGGCCAGTTCACCGTCTTGCTCGGGTACGCCAGTCTTCATCCGCCCACCCGGGGCATGGCAATGTACGCGCGATTTCATCAGCTTCCGGTCAGACTTTGGCAACACGCATGCTGTCTGATGCGCGATTTGCACAAGTTTCGGCTGGGCCCTGGCAACACTCTCGCGGAGTCTGACCAAGCACACTTGGTGGCGAACACGCGTGCATTGGCAATCAGCTTTATCGCCCACCTGTGAGGGAGCATTCTGAGTAGAGCCAGGATTGCTGTCGAACTATAATCGTTTTTATAATTTGGTCAAGTGCTCTGTAAGCCAGTAAAACGTTTACATTTATATGTGATTTTACCACACCTAGCTGTGTGAAACTCCGAGTTGGTCAGTCCATGCTATCGCCGAATTCATGGAGGAACAAACCAAATAGGCAATTGTGATTAGCTTTTGTCATCTTCCTAAATGTGAACTTTGCGATCGACGAGACTATTGCACGGACAGTTAGTTTAGAAATGGTGTAGTCACGGTGTCGAAGCGCTCTTGTAGTTGTTCCCTTATTTCTGGCACTTAACACCTGGTTCTGGCAATCTTATATCATGCTTATGCTTATAAACTTATTCCCACTATTTTGCAGGCAGAAGCCCATGCAAGTTGATGTACCGCACGAATTTTAGTTGGTGAACCGGGGTGTATTAAACATTTAGTGCAGCGAGTGCCCTTCACTGATAGACCAAAAATGAATTCCCCGCCGTTGTGTCAAGCATGGTCCGCGGAGGTTGATGGCCTAGGAAGCATGATGACAAGTGCCAAAATCTATGTGATGAGTCTCATTCCCAGTCCCTGCTATCTCTACTTGAACAGTGCAAAAATAGACGAAACCCGTCATGGAGTGCACGGTTGAAACTGGTGACACTTAAACTCCTCACTTCGGATGCAGTTTTAGGAATCGGAGTGACTGTGGTTTAGTAAAAGATACACCGTAGACCCAAAAGGGGTACTCCTGAACTCAAAATGATAAACCACTTTTTCCACTGTTGCTCGAACCACGGGCGGCTTTTGGAAGTGGAACTTACGGAGGCATTGCAATGGAATGCAATATTCAGCTGCAAAATAACAAGGTATTCGGCGCAACGTGGCTGCATATTTCCAGTAAGCAACAATACGGCCATGTGAAAAGCATTCCGATAGGTTAAGTAAGGTATTTGTAAAACCCATAACTTTTAGTGAGTCAGAAAACAGGAGGCAGTGGGTCATAAGTAAGATAATGGTTGAGCTCTAAGGCTGTGCTGAATTAGCTAGAGCGCATAAGTCATTAACATATGCGGCACAATAAGTTTTTAACTCCTACTTAGCACCTTTTTCGAGAGTTTCTTATCGGAAGGACATTCCAGTCACTAATTGGAGACGATAACGTTTTACAAACGAAGAAGTAACTTACTCAATCGAAGGAAGTTCATAAGGTGTGTTGTCGGTGGGTGCAACTCAGGAGCAGAGCAGTTGGTCTCCAGGCTGACTTTCCAACGGTAACCACCGTACGGAGTCATTTCACTGAGATGGTATCGATACAGGTTAAAAGGTAAATATTTTTGCATGCTATATTGTGCAAGTGATACGCTAAGTGACGTCAGACAAAAACCTAACAAAAGGTCAGTTTAACAAAGCCGAGCAACGATTGTTAACTACTACCAACTACACACTAAATCTACTGGTTTCGGAGGCTGGACCACTGAGGAATCGCAACTAATTTTCTACTGTAGGCTTATTAAACAAAGCAAATTAAGACTACGATAACATTCCAATCAAATGGTTTGATTCAAATGTATAAATACTTCATTAATCATTATCAAGAACAAGGCACCTGTCAAAGCGCATTAATGAGCACCTTCCACGCTGGTGGCGTCGAGGCGGTACCGGGGCTAGAACTAGCTCTATTATGGCTCATCTAGTTGATAGTGTGCACGAAGTCGATCCAGTCCGCGCCTTTCGAATGCTCTACAAGGTTCCGCCACTCCAATCGAAAGGCCTGCGCCTCCGTACCCTCGTTACAGCTGAGGCGATCAGTATTCGGTTGTATCAACCGTTTTTGTGTTCACAAAAGAAACTGATCGAAGCCCTCAATTTGCAATGGCATTACAGAGTGGACGATTCGGAGGCCGGAAGAAAGCATTTGACTTCATCTTTGCCCTAGTGTGCGCTTATCGTTTAGGTTTATTGCTGGTTTATGCCCCCAGTTGGCACGTGATCCAATTTCATTTGAACTGATCGAAACCACTGTTACTTCCGTTGCTCTTTACCCATATGATTGTACAGGTCTGACGAGGAATTCATCGAAAACAATTGTTTACCTTTGGTCCCTTGTACTTGATGACTAAATGAGAATTTTCTAGTTACTGAAATCATTATCAACTTACGGAAACATATAGCTGAATTACTTAGCATAAAATTTACGTTCTGTCCCAAATACGGTACATATTTCAGCTTATACGTTGGACCGTACCGTGGTACGATAGTTTGTGTGCCTCAGTGATCCATTGAAGCATGCTGAGTGGTGCTATTTGGCGGCTTCAGAGCCACTCATATCAGATTGGTCAATGGTTAGATGCCAGACAAACTCAGCCTCCTGGTCCTTCAGGTTGGGGGTTGGAATGAGGGTGGCTTATTATTACTTAAAACCGACTTCTTGTAGCTAAACGTCAAACCAACTGCCTTGCCGTCAGGATTTTAAACCAAACGCTTTGGTTGAGAACCCTACTCCATCTCCCGTCTAGGCCTGAGCAACCTGTCAGTATCCTGCCCACGAAATGCAATAAATTTCTCTTCAAACAGATTCTTGATGGCCCGGCCGTCGCAGACGACAATAAACGGAGTCCTGTCTGCTGCATCAAGTAGGATGGATGGGGGTTTGGATGCTACTGTCCAAGACTTCCCGTCTTCTTATTCCCCCACTTCTTCACGTTTGTCTTCCTCTTCCTACTTCATGTCTACCATGTTTTCAACACCATCCCTCAAGTTGCTTGGCCCTCCCCAGCATGAGTTGCTAAGCGTTTATCTTCTAGTTTCAACTCACATGCAAACGCGGAGAGTCACTCATGTCGTGTCGACAAGTCCATGTCCAACCAAGCGTACCATCACAGTTCATGGTTTTCCGTTTGAAGCTGACAGTACTTCTGCAGCTTAGCATACCATAAAGTACGTACACTGCTACAGATCGGTCAACAGGCAGCACTTGCCAGAGCATTAGAGACCCTCTCCAGCGATATCTGCTGCTTATCGGAAAACCGCCTGCAACACACGATCTCTGTGCTCACTCTGCGATCCCATTCAGGTGACACCAGCAGAATTTTCTCATTGCGCCTATCCGGTGAGGATGCAGCTTCGAGCACCGGCCAAGCTGGTGTTGGCATTACACTGAGTCCTCGGGCTGAAGCTGCTCTGGTTGATTGGCTCCCAAGCAGTCGCCGGATTTCTGCGGTCCGATTGGCTGGCACGTTCAAAGCTTCGAAGTCCCGCGGGACTAATAGGTTTCTATTCATCATCACTGCCTATCCGCCCACAAACTGTAGCGAGGATTCGGTAAAAATCGACTTATACCAGCAAATGACACAGCTCCTCCCTTCTCCACAGAAGAGGCACGGACAACGTGGTGCTGGTGGGGGATCTGAACGCACAAGTTGGAAAATTATCCACTGATGAACTGCATCTGGGCAGCCAGCAGTCTGAAGGCTCCCGTAATGATAACGGTGAGCGGTTACTTCGTTTGTGTGAAGATGCTCGCTTATTTCTTGCGAGCATTAGTTTCCGACACAGCACCCGCCGGAGGAAGACTTGGCGCCCACCAGCCTCGAACCAGCCTTGGACGCAAATCGATCACATGGCAATCAGGTACCGCTGGCGAGGCTGTAGCCAGAACTGTCGCTCGATTTGGAGCACATGCACCTGTATGTGCTGACATGCGGATGTGTTTTGGCGTACGCGCACGACGACGCTGTGAGCACATTGACACCAGCCAACTGGTGAAGCCAGCTGTTCTGAATGCTTATCAACGTACGCTGATATACGAGTTGTGTAAGCGCTCACTGGAGATAATTGAAGGTCACTGGTCGCATGTTCCCCGACCTTACTAGCAGCAGGCAAATCCTCATGTGGTGAGTCTAATCGCCAACTTGGACATTGGGTCTCTTCGCGGTGTTTGGAAATTATCGATGCTCGTCGGCACATGCCGGCTGGAAGCGAACACAATGAGACTCGCAAAGAGCTCCGAGCAAAATCCATGCTAGCATGAAGGAGGATTGTGAATCTCAGTGATCTCTTCGTGCGTCAGAGATGGAGGTGACCTTTGCCCTTAGTAACCATCGAAATTTATCCTGTCGGATACGGAAAACGGGCAGCAGGATACCTGGTGCTAGTGAAACAATTTAGGACCAGACTGGACAGACTATCCACAATTTGTCAAAACGTTTGGAGCGTTGGGCTGAGCATTTTGAAAAGCAATTCAATCAGCCGGAATTGTTAGGTTCTTCGCCGACCACTGCTCGCGTTGCTCCGTGCGCTGTTCCTTTGCTCCGCCCTTTCGCTCAGAAGTCAAACGTGAAATCGGACTGTTGAAGTTAAACAAAGCCGCGGGACCAGATGATCTATCTCTAGCCCTCTTCATATTCGAGGGTTCTGTTCTTGTTGATGATTTACACCAATTGCTAATGAAACTGTGGGAGCAAGAAACTGTTTCCACCGACTGGAGCCGCTCCTTCATAGTCCCAATTTTCAAGGGATGCTTGCGCTCGGAATACGGCAGCCATAGAGGAATCAGTCTGATCTCCATCGTCTCCAAATTGCTTGCGTCTGTCTTTCTTCACAGGCTGACTGGCACTACGAAAGCCAGATTCGTGAACAGCAAGCCGGGTTTCGTCGAGGTCGTGGCTGCATCGACCACATCTTCACTTTGCGTCAATTTTTGGAGTACCGTCACATATATTGGAGGGCCCACCATATTCGTGTTCCTCGATATCAAAGGTGTACTCGAATCGGTGGTTGGACATGCATTTTGAGACTGCCTATTCAGGAAATGTGTACCTGAGATATATGTGAATACTATCCGAGCATTATATGCGCAAATCTCGGGCAGAATGATGGCTTACGGCAAGTTGTCGTCACCCTTTAATATCTCCAGCGGCGTGAGACAGGGATTCCCGTTTTCAGCTTCCCTCATCAACTTCGCTCTTGGTGAATTCATGGAAATCGCGTTCACACGACACGAATTTGAAGGTGTGGATCTGCTCCCAGGAGAACGAGTTATTGACTTGGAGTATGTTGATGATATTGCCCTAATCTGTGATAGCTCATAAACGTGCCAAGCGGCACTGGACAGATTAGCACTAGCTGTCCGTCAATTCGAGCTTTGCTTCGCACCCTGGAAGTGCAAAGTGTTCCCCCAAGATTGGTCTAGACCGCTTCCTACACTGACCGTCGTTGTGGATCAGCTAAATGTCGTACCAAAATTCAACTACCTAGGAAGTTGTATCAGCGCCCGTGGGATTGAGGATGAGATCATGAAGCGTATAGCAAAAGCTCGGGGCGCTTTTGCTAATCTTCGCCACTTACGGCGCCGGCGCGACATCACTCTTGCCCTGAAGGGTAGAGTGTACAATGCAACAGTACGTTCGACCCTACTGTACGGTTGTGAAATCTGGCCGCTTAAAGCAGCGGACCTGAAGACGCTAGTTACGTTCGACCACCGGGGCCTTCGTAATTTAGCTCACATCTGGTGGGAACACCGCGTGAGCAACGAGCGTGTTCGACGCCTTGTTTACGGCACAGTAAAAGGAAATGAACCGCTCAGCACCGTCATTTCACACACCAGGCTCCGATGGCTCGGCTACGTGTTGCGCATGCCAGCCCACTGACTCCCGCGAGGTGCGTTATTTACTCGCCGAGGGTGTGTATGGCATAAGAGAAGAGTTGACCAAGCGATGACTTGATTGAAAGGAATGAAGGCCCTCACTTCTGAGCTGGCCTCGGTTGGGGCGTCACGGCTCTCTGCTTGGGGTCCGAAATACGATGAACACTTTTGCTTGGACACACTTTCTTTTATGGCTAGGAGCCGACCTCAGTGGCGTTCGTGCTGTGGGTTACTTTGTCGCACCCCATCCCTCTTAGTCTCCCCCTCCAACCATGGTCTCATTATTTAGCCTTATATAATCCTGCATAGTAATTTTTTTGATGCACAGTAGCCGGCTGGTAGCTTACAAGAAAGATTCTCATCCGTTACCGGTAGCTCAGCCGGCTTGCACCAGTTGCATTTTTTTCTCCTTTTTCTGTGCATTGCGGCAGAGTAGCTGAAGTGTTTCCCACCTCTAGCTAACGTGTATGATGATGATGATGATGATGCATCAGCGTCTGGTGCATAAGCACAGTAATTAGTTCACATAATGCAAAAGCCAGAACGGCCTTCTAATTCTAGGATATCTTTGGCGACAGAAAAGTGGTTCCTCCACCTAGATAGCCGTGTTCACAAGGCCACAATCGGGGCCGTCCTACTCTATGATAGTGAAACTTGGCCCCATCGATCTGAGGACCTGAGATGTCTTCAAGTCCTTGATCATCACTGTCTGCTGGGACTTGCTGTTGTCGGATGGCCCAGCGTGTCCGCAACGATGATGTGCTTTGGCGAGCACTAGGCAGTGATAACCAAGTTATTTCCTAAGAACAACAATCATCACCTTCATTATACACTTTAGCTGCAGGTGGAAAACACCTCAGCAATTGTGCCGCAATACTAAAGACAAGAAAATATATACTGCAGTGGCACTCCCGCTGAGTCACTAATAACGGTTGAACATCTTTCCGGAGAGCTAAAAACCGGCCATCGTACCATAAAAAGAGCTATATTATGCCCAGCGTAGGAGATCGTGATTGGAGTGAGATGCTAAGCAGGAGGGATGGACAAAGAAAATCACAACACAAATGCCATTGGAGCCGGGTCAAAGCCATGTCAGCAATTGTCTCCAACCAAACGTGTTCATCGTCCTTGGGACCGTAGGCACGCAGTTGGGATGCACCAACCGACGCCAACTTCGAATTACGGGTTTTCACTTATCTCGAGCAAGTCATCGGTTGGCCGCCTCTCCTCCTTTTCCAACTGCACCCATGAGGTGCAAACAGTGCACGTTGCGGCACTCAGGGTGCTGGCATGCGCAACACATGACCCAACCATCGTAGACTGGTGCGTGGTATAATAGTGCTGAGCGGTTCACTCGCTCTTCCTGCACCAAATACGCGATACCGAAGACGCTCATTGCTCCCACCAGACATGAGCCAAGCTGAGAAGGCAGCAATGATCGAACGTGACGATCCTCTTTATGTCTGTCGACCTGAGGGACCAGGTTTCACAACCGTATGGGAGAGTTGACGGACGGATGCGTTAAAAAATCTACCCTTCCGGGGGAGAGTAAAGTCGCGTCTGTGTCACAGGTGGTTGAAATTGGCAAAAGCGCTTTTAGGTGTCTTTTAAGGAATAAGGAATCATCTTCATTACAACACATAACCTGAAGCGTCCAGGAGACTGAGTTTGTCTGGCCTCTAACCATTGGCGAATCTGGTATGAGTGGCTATGAAGTTGCAAAATGCACCACTCAGCATAGTTCAATGGTTCACTGAGGCACACAAACCATCGCATCAAGTTAAGGTCCAGTCTCCTCGCGATGGCCGTATAACAACAGATTGCACTGAAAAGTTGTGTTGCCTTGGGCACGTACTGCGAATGCCTGGTCACTGCTAACCGAGGGAGCTTGATTTATCTGCCAGCTGTGGGGTGGCTCAAAGCTCGCTGTGGACAAAATTTGACTTGGCAGCAAGAAATGAAGTAACTGACGACCAAACTCGGTGCCATCGGTCCGTTTCGCCTTCCAGGTTGGAGTGCATATGACTCGCTCTGTGTTTAGCTCGAGACATTAAAGAAGGGCTTAGAGACAGCTGCTGTCTCCTAGTTGAAGTGCCTGTTTGAAGTGTGTTTGTTGCTTATTTAGCTGCGGGGTAATGGATGCATCTGACGCTGGGCAGTGAGAACCGCATAGAAACTGCCTTGCTGATGGCGCCAATCCGACGACTGCTTCTATCCACCAACGGTGGTGAGAACACGAGCGACCAAAGACAAAGACCCAAAGCTTCTTTTACATCGGGAAACAACTTCGTTATCGTTCATGACGAACAAGCGTGAAAGCCAGAGTACGGAAGGCGTGCAGACAAGTAAAGCTAATAAAGCTTGAGCAAATAAGGAACCAATCAGATGAATACAAATGACGGAAACTGACAGTCTTGGCATCAGAGTAGCGCTGAGATATGATAGCAAAATTAACGACTCTAAACAGCCAATAAGGTTAGCGGAATGAAATGTTAAAACAAACGTCAGTGAGCCACCAGAGTAAAACAAAATTCTACAGCCATGTGCGGTTACAGAAGCATACCTGCATTTTTATTGTTTCTCTAACACAGGACCAAGGGGTAGGACGGTTTTAACTGTGGCTATGTAAACACGCTTTCTCCGACCGTGTGCAACCCCTTTCTGATGCCACACAAGTCAGAGATTAAAAAGACTTTTCCTGCCTTCATAATGCATGAATTAACCTCACCACTCAAGCTCCCATCGCTGCTGATGCAGCTTTTAAGGTAAGTGCATTGCCCAATTACGCCGCGTTCCTCGCCTCCAAGTGTCCAGGGGTCATCAAGTGGCTGATGGTCCTGTAACACCAATTTGAATATTCGGAGCGCGGGCCAAATAATCGTACCACACTAGAGAGGTATTTATACTTGATTGGGCTACCCCGACCTCGTTAAACAGCAAGACGATATCGTCCGTTTAATCAATAGCAACAAGTTTTCCACCTGTATGTTGACATTCTGCAAGGGTACGCTCCACGTAGGTGTCTACGACGAAGTTGATGTGGACAAAAGGAAACAGGACAACCCCGACGAACTCCCCTTGTTGTCGAGACGCCTTACGACAAGTCACTATAAATCCAGACGCTGCGTGTTGTGTTCGAATACAGGACACATAAAATCCTTGCCCATGTCATGGGAATTCTTTTCCAAGTAATTTTTCTTATACAATGCATCGAGCACCTGGTTCGGACGAACTATGGTAGTCGAGAATACAGTGTGCTTAGTCGCTTTACGAAATACATATCAATAATTTGACATATTTCAGTATGAATTTTGCATACTAGCAGTATGTGCTGAACTGTCTAATCCAAGGTGGTTCTTATAATAATGATGACTTTTTAGTGCTTTTATGTATTGCTTGGATGGTTCTGCTGACAGCGCTAATGCATTAGGAGACAGTCATAAGTAACACGACAACGGGACAAAGCTGGCCCGGAATATTATTGCTGGTTCGGCAGCTCATCGCGAGAGCTGGGCGCAGACTTTAAGGTGGATAGCTTCTCCGATTAAGACACTTGTTTCTTCCTCGAACGCTAAGATTCGCACAGTACGGTACTGGTTGTCTGAAAACTGTAAGTGTTTACACATCTCACATTATCCTGTGTTTGTTGAATTCTGCTAATGCTAGAATCTTACGCGTAAGGGAAGCAGCGCAACGGACCAAAACCAATTGCTTGGCGCGTAGGTGATCCATTGGAAAGAAAGCCAGTATTTGTCTCGTACGGGATAAGTTAAAAACGATCATTATGGTGAACACGAAGTTCCACGCGTTTATTTCATCAGCTGGTACGCTGTTTAGTGAAAAACTGAGCATTTGATTCACTTAAAATTATTATGTGCAGGCGTTAAAGCAATCTTTCTTCGACGTTATTCACAAGGTAAGCAGGCTACAAGGATTTTCTATGCATAAGCTATTCGGCAAGTTGGTGTGAAATAACTGTTGCTAAAACTTCTTATTTTTGTCACCATGCACCACTAAATCGCAGTAAATGACGGAACGATTTTGATGAAGAGCTCGAATGACAAACAGTGACCCAGAAACCTTTCTTTCAATTCGCCAAGGATGAGGACACTTAACTGCACATAAGCTGGTTTAAGTTTGGATTGACCTCACGAGAGTTAGCGGGGCTGGAAGTGGGATGTCAACTTACCATTTTGCTTCAACCATTGTCCTCAGTTGCAGCGGCGGGATGTGGCATATCCCCACGGTGTACACAGACAAATATGCCGCCTGAATGTTTGGAAGCGGAAGGCTGATGGCATAGTAGGGAGTGATGGGGTACGATAGATTGTATCCCATGCAGCCTGTGTTGTGTGATGAACAAACAGGGATGAATGCTGAGGTGGAACACTGGAGTAAGAAGAACAAGTTCAGCTGAAATAATTCATGAAGCAATGAGTCTGAAGTTTTTCTTCCTTACCACTTAAAGCGTAAATGTTCCCATCATATTAATAATTAAGTAAGGCGCGTCCATTTCTTGCTGCTCCTACGTACATTCCCAAGTGGAGTACACGTTACAGAGATATCTTTACAGATGCGCAAATTACCATCGCTTTAGTCCCTGTGACATTGAATCTCTGGGTCGATGGAGGAGTACAATACTTACCCCATTATTTGTGGCACCTACTAGAGACGAAGTTTTGGTGGTGGCTGCCCAATGACACATGAAAACCGAGAAAATCTCGGTACTGTGTGTTGCCACCCCCACCAGACATTATCTTGCCGAATTATCTCCTCGTGGAGCCATCTGGGTGGTTTAGAATCATCCTGTTCCAGCGAATGATTAGGCGGCAGTATTTCAAGAGGTGGTGGGTTTTCGCTTGATAAGCGTTTTCCCTATAAAAAGCCACAAATGTCCGCTTTGCAACAATGGGACATGGCGGAATGGTTCGCTAATAAATAAATTCGCTGCCCCTTTCTTCACGTTGATGAAACACTGCATTCCAGCAAGTGTATGATGACGTCATAAGGACGATTGGGCCCTGGTGTGGTGTTTTACGAAAAAGCGACTACCAGTGGGCGTGATTCGCTGAGCTTGCATCGCAGCTTGTAGGGTGTCCTCTAAGACAACTCCCTACTTTGGCTTAGGCAACCGGGTAACTCAGTAACAAAACCATGAATCACTCGAATGGTATACCGCTCTCAACTGCCTTTCCTTCCGCTACTCACATACTTTCTTCACACGCCGCCTGTTCATTTATTGCCAGTCACTGTTATCTGCTACCAGCTGATTTCTGTTTCCATGATTCTACTCCGGATAGCTTCACTATGCGCACAGTGCTCCCCCAGTGACCCTCCATCGGCCTCGATCCTCGTTCCGTCTGGCATACTTCAATGTTCGCACATGCAAGCAGATCGGGCAACAAGCCTGGCTCTAGTGCACCTTGGAATCTCTCGTCATCAATGTTGGCTGTATTTTCGAAACCTGATTACAGTACTGTGATTGAATTGAGTTCTCCCAGCTACCACAATGGACAATGATTTTATACGGGTTAAGCAGCATTGCTTTACAAGCCCTATTGGGTGATCTGCTGGCTTAGCGAAAAAACTTAACGAAAAATCAGTTAGTGCTTTTACTGTCAAAATAATGGACTTATCGTTTTGATTCAGTAGTCCTGCACCCCGAGCGTTTCCATAGCTTCAGTAGGCGAAATAAAGTGAGTCCAACTTATTTCCCGGGTGCATGATGGAGAGTATCGTCAAGTGGCGGAGTGCGTCATCCAAGCGACTTTTAAATTTGGCTAACTTGGGTGCTGAAACAACAGATTCGGGGAGAGCATTCCAAGGTTGACACAAGTGAATGGAAAAGAAGTTTCAACGGCACGCCAGGCGGCTTTACTGTTCTGCAAATCTCGAAGTGTGGCCTCCAAGTTTGGTGCTACTGTTGAGTTGCAGTAAAGCGCGGCGCACATGATTTGGGTTATGTAACGTCAACTACGTCATAATCAAGTCGCCTCGTAACTGGCGATACCACCCGTTGAATACTCTCAAACGTTTTAGCCTCTGCTCATACGGAAGGTGGCACATTTCACGGACGGATTTAGAATCCCGATCTTGAGGTTTGTCTACTGCAGTAAGATCGTGTTTAAGCCATGGCTGCCAGGCTTGGATTGCGTATTTGACATGGGGCGAACATACGCATTCAGCATCTTTTTGAATATAGGGGTGGCTAGTTGTCCGAAAGCCCGTCATAGCAAGCCGATGTGTTGGTTACCAGTTTTCGAGGCCTTTGCGGATTCCTTGGAACAACCCAAGTTATCCTGAACAAGGACAGCAAGGTCGTAGTCGACGGATGAAATCTGCAGTACTTGCGTTCCTAGTTTGTAGGAGTGGGTACTCTGGTGTCTTATGGAGAATACCTTGCATTTGCCCACTTTGAACTGTAAAAGCTTTCGGGTTGCCCTATCAGGTATCGTAGCTAGGTCACACGGAAGTAAATTCGGATCAGTCCCGCCTGAATCCGGCGCCATATATTGATATCATCGATAAACAGCAGGAAATTCGAAACGATATTCCGTTCAAGGTCATTGCAACATACCAAAAACAACGGTGGACCTAGAACTGTGATCTGGGGCACAACAGACTCGACAGGTACGGGTTCAGATAAGGAACTCCGGACTCTCACCATTACTTGTCGTTATAGGAGAGAGTTGGCGATCCAGCTCAGCTGAGGGTCTCCGATCCCGTACTACTGAAGCTTGGATAGGAGAACCCCATGACCTAAACGATCGAATGCCCTTGACATATCCAAGTTGGTCACATCAGCGGCCACTCCAGCATCAGCTGACTCGGTCCAACTACTCCGCGCGATAATTAAATTCGTCGTGCCTGATCACTGTCGACGAAAGCCATGTTGCTCGGGTGCAATTATGTTACAATTTTCTAGCTAACACACAAACACATCGGCAACGAGAGCTTATATGACCTTAGATAATACAGGGAGAAGGGACACTGAGCAGTAGTTTGAGGGCTCAGTCCTGCTTCTGCATTTGTGCGTCGGAGTTATTATTCGAAGCTTTTATCTCGCCGTAATCTGGTTCTGGTTTGAGCAGTGCAGGAAGAACTGTGTCATAGGTTTTGCCAGTTGTCCTGCTGTTGTTCGCCCTGCCTCTTTGCGAATGCGGTCGACTGCTAGTGAGCAGTCGTTACGCAAAGACGCCAGCTTCCGCAAAACAGCTTCGGTAGTACAGGAGGTGTGGGTGAGTCCTGAAGGCGGGAAAACAAAGTTAATATACGGCCTCATGGTAAGACCCTCTGAAATGTGGGAGCATATTGCGTCCGCAACACGTTTGATGCTTCTCTAGCTGTTCTACTTGGACCAGAGGTGGAATTCCGTGCCGCAGCTTACGACTGCGATTGACATACTTGTACAGTAGCTTGTGGTTAGCGCTGAAAGTTTCCTCCATATTCTGTTGATCTGCGACTTGGTCACCTTTGATCAGTTGAGTGCAGTGGTTACGATGGGCTACGTAGCTGTCTCAATTATCTGGTGTTGGTGATGGTCTGTACTTTCGCTAGGCTGCGTTGCGTATAGTCATCCATTTGCAAGTTCTGCTCCTTGCGAAAGAAACGGTTTTGGGCCTATTAAAAACCCTTGTCTCTGGGGCATCCGTAACCAGTGGACCGAATTTGCTGACGAATTCAAGCCAAGTGACTTCCCGATGGCCTTCAGATAGGAACGACCAGATTGTGGTAGTGACGAGCTGGGCTAAGCGGCCTTTGCGTGTAATGGTGCGCACCAACTCAGGGTTCTGGTTGCGATATTCCGCATAGCAGATGAAGTCGAAACTGCTGAGTGCATGATCACTGCGACTCGCACTGTAGCTCGCTTAGGTAATACAGAATTACCCATCCTCTTTGCTTAAGCCTGTCGTTTCGTATGAGTGACATGTCCGGCAGCGACAGTTCAGTGTCTGTCGTCTCAGCTGCCGCCATGTCTCCGTGACATCGATACTATGGTATGGCTTCGAAATTTGGCGATCATTCAGTTTGGCCGGTTTATTATAAGGCCTTGAGCAGTTGTATAAAAGCAGGATAGCTTCTCAGTTTCTAGGAGCCTATACGGAGCCAAAGGAGTCAAGGGTGGTAGAATGCTGACCGGTGGGAGGTCGGCCGTTACTCGCTTTTTTGCCGGGATGATGATGACACGTCATTCGCAAAACTGATTTAGCCAAGGTACGTCCCATTCCTCGTCCGGACCTGCTGCAGAATCGTATGACAGAGCAGCAAAGTGATGCACTTGCTTTATCGTTGGTAAGTTTGCTTTTTCAAATAGGCTCATATCTGGTCTTCGCAAGGATTCAGCCTCTCTTAACCGAAGTTCATATGGAAGAATTTTACCATGTCTCCGCCAACGTTCTAACACTTCCGTTGCTGTCTACTCTGACTGAAACAGGAGTTTAAGGATTCTTGGTCCGCTTCCTCTATAATTTGGTGAGAAAGATAGCCCTTTGAGCGATCGCGCCACAACGTTGTCCATGGAAATCGTTTCACTAATGAACTGCCACTGTTCCAACTTATGACTACCGATCTCATGACTACGGGGGGAGACAAGTTCTGGCACGCCATAAATAAAATTGGTGCTTAGCGAATCCAACTTGCTATGTATATCTGTGACGTTTCTTTTCCGTTATCGCGTGCTCCAAGGGACCTAAGGATAGATGCGTGGCGCAATTGTAGAGAGTGAAACATTTGCTACATCACTGCTCGAGTTCAGTGTTACCCTAATAATTTTGGGTTCACCGTAGTGTGCAAAGTTCGAGTGACGAGCAACGCCCATTAGGTTTTTGGGTTTGGCTGTTGCGTTCATTCAAATCTACAGTGAGTCCCACTGGTCTTGATCGTCAGACAACGTGCCCCGCAATCTGATGGGGTTAGATTCGAGGACATTGGTGCACACGATGGTCATTGAGTTAGTATTGGAGCTCTTTTTGTTGAACTGCGAGTTCGGGTGATTGTTTGGCCTGGCTTTATACCAAGTGATGATGGTCCACCGTTTGTCGCTCTATTGACGTTAACGGTGTTTGCAACAGAGGAGACACTAATGGTAACATACCGATGGAATTTTGCAGCGATCTCTACATATGCGAGTGGAGTCTCCGTAGCTTTGAACTCGACCAGAGACCCTTGAGTAGCAGATGCAGTAGAGTCGGGTTCGGCTTCCTCATCATGGTTAATGATACAAGTTGTTAAGATCGGCTAAATTTGATCCATCACTCGTTTCGAGTGGTGCCTGATTTTCGGGGTCCTGAGTACCGCTTGTCCATCAGAGCTACCGTCTGTTTTCGCCTGGCCTTCCAAATGTGCAGAAGCTAACGGCAAAGCAAAGCAAACGGCGAAGCAAATTTTGCACCAATGTTTCTCGTTAAAGCCGCTGAGTTAACATGGTGCAAACTCGCTCTCAGTGATTTACGCTTAGCGTTCGTACGTTGCTCAACTCCTTCTGTTAACCGCTGGTACCTTTGGACTAGGAGAAGTATACATTTGACTAGTGGACTAATCGAACAAGCAGTACAAAGCCGGAGATTGTCTTGGGCTTGCTTCGATCCCTCAAGTGTTGGCAGGAAAGATTTGTGCATTTTGCATGGTACCATCTGAAACAGTGTGTAAAAGCTAAACTGAGTTTGACTAATCAGGGGACCCACATTTGCCTTTCGAATGGAGTCGTCTTGGATTCCCATCAACTTGCTTTCTGTAACGTGGCATATTGTTGCTACTTACACAGTAGGCTAGTAGACGTTGCGCATTTTGCAGACTGGCCGGTTGCGGACTCTATACCATTTCCAGGCTAAGTTGTCCTGTGTCTGTGTTTTGCTGCATCGGTCAGGGGTTATAGCGGGACGACGCCACGTGTAACTCCCCTCACGTGACAGATGGAATCACAGTTGTGAAATGTAACGTTCTATCGGCTTAGGTGAGCGGTGCGGTTTCCGAATAGCAATCGGCTGATCGATTTCTTCCGTTTGGTTTTTGTTTGTCTCCTCCAGATCTTCTGGAACCACTTTCTCTTCCCCAGGGTACGGTGTGACTGGGGTGCGGGGCCGGATGAAATCATTGTGCCTGCGTACTGTCTCTCCACTCTCTAGTTGTATTTCGGCCTCCGTTTCTGAGCTCGTAAGCACGGTGCCAGGCTGCCATAACTGCTCATGTGGTAGTTTCGTGTAAACATCACGTTCCACTATCGACTTCTGGGGCTTAACTGGTGCGCGTCCACTTTCATGCATACGTTGTTGCTGGCAACGCCTGGTCTGACGAGGGTCTGGAAAAAGTAGGTCTAGCCTCGTACGTAGTCGACGCCCAAACATTGCCTCCCCAGGGCTCTTTCCGATAGACTCTAGCGGTGTGATCCGATATGCGAACAAGAATCGGTCAAGTTTGGTTCGTAACGAGCCATTACGCTGCTTTAGAAGACCAGCTTTCACGGTTTGGACCGCTCTTTCAGCTAAACCGTTTGACGCTGGATGGTACGGTGCGGAAGTCATGTGATGAACGCCGTTGCTCTGCAGGTATTCTTTGAACGCTGCACTCGTAAATTGCGGACCGTTGTCAGTGACTAATGTTTTCGGTATGCCATGTGTAGATAGACTAGAGCGTACGCCATTGATTGTAGCTTCTGCAGTAGCGTTTGCAACAACATGCACATCAATCCATTTGGAGTACGCATCTACTAAAAGTAGCAACATTTTTCCTTCGATCGGGCCAAAGTAATCGGCGTGGACACGTTCCCATGGGCTGTCGGGCAACTGCCAAGGGTGAATTGGGCCTGTTGGATTATCTCTTTGATATTTTTGGCATGTGTTACAAGTACTCAAAAGTGCTTCGATGTCTCGGTCAATCGCTGGCCACCAGCAGTAGGATCTGGCGAGGGCTTTCATGCGGACAATACTTGGATGTGCATCATGTAATTCTTTCAGTACCAGTGACCTGAGAGTCAATGGAATAACGATGCAAGATCCACGTAGGATACATCCTTCATGCAGGCTCAGCTCAAATTTACAAATGAAAATCGGACGCAGATCACCAGGGGCTCGCGAACCCCAGCCACGCAGCAACATACGTTTCACAGTCGATAGAACGGGATCTCTGTCTGTAGCTTTCCTAACCATGTCGCCAGATATGGGTGTAGTATTTAGGTGTTGCAAAAGTTGAACAAACTCGTAGGGCGCGTCACTTCTTTCCTCCTGTTGGTCAATCTGTGGCAATCTACTGAGCGCATCAGCGACATTATTGTGAGGACCGGAAATGTATCGGATTTGATAATTGTAAGCAGAAAGTAGGAGGGCCCAGCGTACCATTCGGGGTGCGTTAAGTTGTTCTATGCCTCGTTCCTTACCGAGAAGTGATAACAGTGGTTTATGGTCAGTCTGTATCTCAAACTGGTTGCCCCACAAGTCCTGATGGAACCGCTTTACTCCGAATACTACGGCCAGTGCTTCCTTGTCTAATTGTGCGTAATTTTTCTCAGCAGGTTGTAATGTGCGGGACGCGAAAGCAATAGGGCAAACTGTTCCGTCGTGGACTTTATGTCCCAGCACTGCCCCGACTCCAAAAGGTGAAGCATCACACTGTAGGATGAGGGGTTTGTTGGGGTCGTAATGTACCAAGACTGGTGAAGAAGCAAGGAGACCTTTTGCCCTGTCAAATGCTTGTTGCTCTTCCTCGCCCCATGCCCACTTAGAATCTTTTTTCAGCAAGTTGTGAAGTGGTGCTAGAACAGAAGCAAGATTAGGTAGGAACCGACGATAATGTGAAAGCATTCCAACGAACGAGCGTAACTGGGCTCCGTTACGAGGTGAGGGTGCAGAAATAATGGGTTGTAATTTATCTTTCCGCGCGTGTAAACCATGCTTGTCCAGTCTATAACCGAGGTAGTCAACTGAATCAACTAGGAAAGCACATTTGGAGCGTTTCAAACGCAAACCGTGTTCAGAGAGTTTATGCAACACCCGGTCCAACGTGCACAAGTGCTCCTTTTCTGTGCGACCCGTGATAAGGATATCATCGAGATATGCGCAAGTGTTCGGTATGTCACGCACGATATTGTCAATTATCCTTTGGAAGATCGCCGGCGCTGAGTTAATCCCGAAAGGCAGTCTAGTGTATTCGAATAGCCCCAAATGTGTACTGATCGTCGTAAGACGTCGGGAGGTCTCATCCAACTCTACCTGCGAATAGGCGTGACTCAAATCCAATTTAGTGAACTTGACTCCTCCAGACAAGTTGGCATACAAATCCTCAATTTTCGGTAATGGATAACGGTCTATGATGGCACCTCGATTTACTGTAAGCTTATAATCACCACAGATTCGTACGTTACCGTCGGGCTTAAGTACAGGCACTATCGGGGCCGCCCATTCAGCTTGTTGGACTGGTACAATCATACTTTCACTTTGAAGCCTTTTCAGCTCGTCTTCCACTCTAGTTCGTAAGGAATAGGGCAGTTTTCTGGCCTTAAAGAACTTTGGTGTACTTGAGTCTGACATATGGATTTTTGTTTTAAAAATATTGAGTCTGTCCAATTGCTGCTCGTCAAACACTTCTGGATATCGTTTAAGGACCGACTCAAAGGTATCCTCCCCCACGGATTGGATAGTATTTAATACTCGTGGTAACGTTTTCATCTAATCACGACCAAGCAAATTGACTGGATCCTGAGGCACGACATGAAGTACCAGACTGTGTGATCTACCCTGATGCTACACTCGTGCCTGACACTTCCCAAGTAAATCAATCACTTATCCTGTATAGGTTTTAAAAACGGTATCAGTCGGTTCCAGGTCGGGTAACGATGAGAGCGCGTTTTTACTAATCAATGTCACCGCGGCACCAGTATCCAATTCAAATAAAATAGGTTCGTTATTAACATGAAGCGTGATCCTATGTGGAGACACTTTCGTCATAACCGAGCAGTTTGCAATTATATCACTACGCATTCTCAAAAAAATTATCAGTGGGGAACTGGGCTATTCACACGTCCGTCGGACTGATAAACAATGATATGATCTCTATACCATATATCCCTATATTCCCTTTCAAACCCCTATCCATTTATTCCACTATAAACCTCCCCAAACTTCCATCCCAAATAACTCTACATACACTACACCATTTCTTTCTCCAATATATCCTCCACCCCCTCAACTCTACTCCTCCTACCCCACCTACCCATAAAACATCTTTCACCCCCCCCCCCCCCCCCCCCCCCCCCCCCCCCCCCCCCCCCCCCCCCCCCCCCCCCCCCCCCCCCCCCCCCCCCCCCTTCCCCTCCCCCCCCCCCCCCCCCCCCCCCCCCCCCCTCTCCCTCCCTCCCCCCCCCCCCCCCCTTCCCTCTTCCCTCCCCCTCCTCCCCCCCCCCTCTCCCCCCCCCCCCCCCCTCCCCCCCCCCTCCCCCCCTCCCCCTCCCCCCCCCCCCCCCCCCCCTCCCCTCCCCCCCCCCCCCCCCCCCCCCCTCCCTCCCCCCCTCCCCCCCCCCCCCCCCCCTGCCCTCTCCCCCCTCCCCCCCCCCCCCCCCCCCCCCCCCCCCCCCTCTCCCCCCCCCCCTCTCCCCTCCCCCCCCCCCCTCCCCCCCCCCCCCCCCCCCCCCCCCTCCCCCCCCCCCCCCCCCCCCCCCCTCTCCCCCCCTTCTCCCCCCCCCCCCCCCCCCTCCCCCCCCCCCCCCCCCCCCCCCCCCCCCCCTCCCCCTCCCCCCCCCCCCCCTCCCCCCCCCCCCCCCCCCTCCCCCCCCCCCCCACGCCGCCGCGCCCTCCCTCCCTCCCCCCCCCCCCCCCCCCCCCCCCCCCTCCCCCCCCTCCCCCCCCCCCCCCCCCCCCCCCCCCCCCCCCCCCCCCCCCCCCCCCCCCCCACCCCCACTCCCCCCCCCACCCCCCCCCCCCCCCCCCCTCACCCCCCCCCCCCCCCCCCTCCCCCCCCACCCCACCGTGGTGACAGTTTGTTTACACATTCCACATGCTGAGGAGGGTTAAACGTGGATAGTTGGGATTTTAGGTTTTCCCTTTGATGTACAAGGTTACACGCCATTTCCCAGGAAAGGGTTTCTTCCTCCTGTGACAATAATTTTTCCCTCGCACCATCATCTGTAACTCCACCAATTAGGCACTGGATTTTCATGACTTCTTCAAACTGACTTGAGGGAATGGTATTTTACCGGCATTCCGGTGTAGCTTGATGAATGTGAGCAATGAAATCATTTAAACTTTCTCCGCATCGTTGCTGTAGCTTGAAAAACTGATAACGAGCGGAAAATACACTTTGTTGGATTCCCCACAATTCCTCAAACAACTGGATCACGTGCACAATACTGGTCTTAGCCATCAAGTTCATAGCGTCAAAATGACGTTGTCCTTCTGATCCAAGGGCTTGGCGAAATAACGTAATCCAGTGGGTATCGGATAACACGATAGAGGGGTTTAACACAGGAAAGAGAGTCATTTGATGTTGGAAAGATGTTTTCCACTGTATCCACGACTGTAGAGAGGGTTTTTCTGCACCATCAGGTCACAGACATGACAGTCCCGCAAGAGGGCTCGTAGCAACCGTCGCCATTCTGATACGTATTACTCGAGTATTGCTGGATCGCACCTGGACCCTTAGTCCGCGCAAGAAGTGAATAAGAACACACACCGATGA